GCATCTGTAATTTTCACTCTATGCATCCGAAGAAGTGAGGTTTTTACCCACGAAAGCTTATGCCCAAATAAATCTGTTAGTCTTTAAGGTGCCACGAGACTCCTTGTTGTTTTTGTAGATACAGACTAACATGGCTACCCCCTGATACTTAAATTCTTACTCCTCTTAGAGAGGTAGGGGAACTTATTTGCATTCTGTTCTGGTCTCTGATATCACTTAGCTTTACAATAAAAATACCAGCATTAAATAGGTTAGTGAAACTGTCTAAACAAGATGGCTTATCCCATTGTTCTGGAGAGAAGGATGGCAGGAATCACGTCTCCAGTATCAATAGATAATATGTTTTAAGGATAGGTTGGGTCATTCAATAGACTTGAGATTAAAATGAATTCACCTTCCTTTGCCACCATAATTTAACAACTTTGCCTTTGTTCCCTCCTTTGAGAGAATTAGACACATCAGAGGTAGAAAAGGACTCATTAATTCATTTGATCCATCTCCCTGTCTCCCTACAGTAAATTAACCTAAAAAACACATTTCAAAAAGTCCCAACAGAGGAAGCTACCATTGCTTTCTGGGGGTATTATCCAACTGCTCAATAATATATAGTCCTGTCAAGAACTTTTTAAAACAAATGTTTCCTCTTTTAATTTCATCCTGCTACTGTTAGCTGCATCTGTTGTGCAACCCTAAATAAGTTCTCTTTGCCCTTGGTATGTATCCCTTTCAAACGCCTGTAGATTTATCAGATTTATCCCCCTCTTTTTGTCACCTTGGGCCTCCCTCTACTCCATCCAAAAATATCACCAAGCAATCACTTCCCTACAGTGAACAGCTTGCTGCTTCCAGCACTTCCTCTGCACTATTCAAATGGTAGGACTTGATTTGTTTGACAGCCATCGCTTCCTTCCCCACGTGGCTTCTCTGGTGCCTTGTAAGGTCTGAGCTCTGTTTGAAGCTTTTTCCCACAGTTTGTGCCTGTTTCTCTTGTGTGAGGCAAGTGCTGATGAGCTGGTTACAGTGTGTCCTGGTGCTTGTGGTTCCTCTGGTGCCGGATCAGGTTGGAGTTCTGGCTGAAGGCCTTCCCGCAGGTGGGGCATTTGTAGGGCCGCTCCCCTGTGTGCACTCTTTGGTGAGTGATGAGGTGGGAGCTCTGGCTGAAGCCCTTCCCGCAGGCAGGGCAGATGTAGGGCCTCTCCCCGGTGTGCACTCTCCGGTGTCTGAGTAGGGTCAGGTTCCGGTTGAAGCTCTTCCCGCACTCGGGGCACTGGAAGGGCCGCTCCCCTGTGTGGATACGCTGGTGTTTCACCAGGAGGGAGCTGTCACTGAAGCACTTCCTGCACTCAGGGCACTGGAAGGGCCGCTCCCCCGTGTGGCGTCTCTGGTGGGCGAGTAGCTTGGCAGGGTTGGCAAAGCCTTTTCCGCAGTCAGTGCACTGGCAGGGCCGCTCCGCACGATGGTTCCTCTGGTGAGTGCTGAGGTGGGAGCTGACAGCAAAGCGTTTCCCACACTCGGTGCACTGGAAGGGCCGCTCCCCAGTGTGGACCCGCTGATGCGTGAGCAGGTTGGCGCTCTGGCTGAAGCCCTTCCCGCAGTTGGAGCACTGGAAGGGCCTTTCACCTGTGTGCGTCCTGCGGTGCTGGGCCAGTGCCGAGCGCACCCGAAATCTCTTCCCGCAGTCTGCACAGGTGTAGCACTGGTCCTGTGCGTGGGCTCTCTGGTGCCTGCCCAAGGCCAAGGAGCTGTGGAAGCTTCTCTGGCAGACCCCACAGGGGTAGGGCTTGGCGTGGGTGCGCTGATGCTTGAGGAAGTGGGAGTTGAGGCGGAAGCTCTTCCCGCACTCACCGCACTCATAGGGCCGCTCCCCAGTGTGGGTGCGGTGATGTCTGACCAGGTTGGAGCTCTGGCTGAAGCCTCTCCCGCAGGCAGGGCACTTGTAGGGCCTCTCACCTGTGTGGGTTCTCTGGTGGGTGATCAGGGCTGAGCTCCAGCTGAAGACCTTCCCACAGTCTGCACATGGGTAGGATTTCTTTCCCATCGGGGCTCTTTGGCGGCCATTGAGGCCTGAGCCCCTGCTGTACCTTTTCTCACAACACTTAGTGTTCATTGACTGCCTGTGGAGACAGCTCTCTGATGGACAGTGGTGCCTTTAATGTTTGTGAGCTCTCATCCACAGTGAGTGGATTTACTCTCTCTCTTTTGGAGGGCTTACCCACTGTCTTTCTGGGCAGTTACAACTCTCACAGGCTCTTTCTTGATCAGGATTCTGGGAAACGTTCTCTTTGGATCTCCCTGAAATTGTTCCATCTGGTTCCCCTTGCTCAGGTCCTTTCTGCTGAAGATTCTCTGCACTCTCACTCACAATCCAAACGTCTGCTGGAAAAAAGAAAAAATCAGACACCCTCGTTCTCAGTGTTCAGGAGAAAGGGAACTGCAGAGGGTTCATCACGATTTTTGGTCTGATTTAATTCAGATTGAAATTCAGGAGCCAGTTTCTTTTAAATCCCTCTCCAGAGGAGAGAGCATTGCAGTGCCAACATCCCATATGTACAGCTCTAGAAAGTCCGAGTGAAGGGAGGGCTTACTGTCTTCTGGAAAGACCTCCGGGAGATCTGTGAGGGACATGACCGAACAGTTGTTTATAGTATTGAATTTGATGAAGCACAAACGTGAGAGCTCACAATGGCTTGGTTGGGACTTCAGCTCTTTTTTTCACTCATGATTGGTTTCTGACTTGGGTTTCCTCCTCACCTGTACAGGTATCACGGGTATCTTACTTTCCCCTGATTCCAGGGACCCATGGCTTTTCCTCTTGTTCTGTACAGGAGATCCTGTCAGGTTTAGGTGTCAGAGATCCTGCTCACGGAAAGCAAAATAGGAGATCCAGGCTTGTTACAAAGATTGTTCTGTGATTTTAAACCCAGTGTCTGTCTTTACTGGGGCTTGTATTATCAAAATAGATGGGAAAGAGTTTGCTGAGTCTCTTTGGGAAAGGCAGTGTTCTGGTGGGAGATGTGACCCAGAGAGAGTCAGACTCCTCCACGCATTGCAGGACTCAGTGATTCAGCTGAGCTGCAAACATTAAGCCACTTGCCTATTACTAAACCCTCAGAGGGTCCAGAACACACTCAGAGGATGAAGTGGAGAAATACAGTGATTACAGGTACAGAAATGACCCTGGACAAATAAATATAATAACTCTTCCCTCAGTGCAAGCTCTGGCTATGGGGAAATTAGCTCTGCCATTATGTTTCTGCATCTTCTTTTCTCTAGGAAGAGGTGGGATTGTGGCACTCTCTCTCACACAGTTTTGGACTGATTACCCAGAATTCTAAGGGACTTGGGAAGATCCCTGACCAGAAACTGACCTATGTCCTTCACAGAGAGTGCAGCCTTCTCATAAGTGAAGGAGAACACGCCCTTACCCAGGGAGGTGAGAGTCTTGTAATTCTCCTGCATGACATCCCTGCAGAAGACCCTCTGATGAGGATCCAAAAGCACCTACTGCCCTTTGGTGCAATAGACCTTCACTTCCTTTATGCAAAAAGAACTAAGTTAGTCTCTAAGGTGCCACAAGTACTCCTGTTCTTTTTGCGGATACAGACTAAAACGTCTGCTACTCTGAAACTTCCTTTATGGTCACTGGCACCTGACAAAAGAAGCATCTCCCACTCCGTACCTTTTGCCCTTGAAACAATCCCACTACTGATCCTGAGAAGCCCCAGACCAGCACTTCCTCTCCATTCTCCCATATTTCACAGGCTTCATTGCTGCTTATAGTTTCCATAAGTATCCAGTTAGAGTCATCTCCCAATTGGCCCTCATTCCCAGGGCCATCCCTTCATTCTCCCCTGTTCTGGCAGAGACCTGCTGCCCTCTCCCTGTTATAGCTGTAAATGCTGACAGTACTGGGAAGCTGCAACTGCAACTAACCACTGAGGAACAGATCTGTCTTTGTCCTGAGCGCCCTGTTCCCCTTTCTCTGTCTCACTTCTTGCAGGCCCATGCTTGGGCCTCAGCAGGGCTGAGAGTTCACGCTCTCACTTCTTGGGATTGCACAGACTATTATTTACATCAGGGGGTGGGTAACAAGTCCCAGAAGTCCCTGTCAGTCACAGCGGTGCTGAGTCCCAGGCTAGAAGCCTTGGGCATTTCAAGGCATTAGATTCTTCAGTTTTGTGGATTTCCCCACCCAAGGTGTCTGATCCTAAAAGGTCAGGTTCCAATAAGCCACCCGCAGAGCTGCTCCAGGCTCCACAGCTCCTCTAGTCATATTATTCAGGTGCGTGAGCAAGGAAAATCCATTCCGATTCAGCGTCTCTCTCCAGCACCATCCTGCCCAGGAGCTTAGGTCAGTATTAACTCATTTTACAGACAGGAAGCTGCGGGACAGTTGCTGGGAGCCTTGCCTCCCAATCCCATTCCTCCAGCTCCCTTTATTTCACCATCTGTGTTTTCTCTCCGTGCCAGTCTCTTCCATCTCCATTTTCCTCCTTTCTCTTAACTCCTCACCTGTCCCTGCCCTTGGGATCCTCTCCCTGTACCTCCATGACCCCTTTCCCAATTTGTTCTGCTCATAGGTTGTATCCCACCCACCAGGCCCCCTCTTTGCTGTAACCCCCCAGCCTTGGCAACCCCCTCCTAGAATGGGATGAGCTGCTGCTGAGGCTCACCCCCTGTGAATGTGCAGGCGGCCTTCTCCCCACAGTCTGTCTAACCTCCCTAATGCTTGCCCTGCCATGCTGTCAGGAGAGGCAGCGTGACTGGGCTAGAAGTGGGGCTCGGCTGCTCGCTCAGTACCCCTAGAAGCAGGAGTTTCAGGATGGCCTTGGTCACCATTGTCTGAATGGCATTTGAGCAGGAAGGAGTGATGGGTGGGGCCAGCATGTGGCTGTCCCACCAAGTGAGTGACTTGGCAAGTCTCTCCTCCCAGCGACAGCCCCACAGTGTATTTACATCCCCTCCCCTCTGCAGGACACACCCAGTCCCCAGAAATCCCCTACCTGAGCGTCTCCCCTATGGCCATTTCCCATCTTCATCAGAGTGGGACAATGGGAAGGGAAACGTGGACGCTATTCTGCAGACCAGCAGGGTGAGATGGGCACCTGGACACTCGCGCCTGCCCCTTTCAGTCCCTCGCTTTCCTGTGTCTGTTCCCTTCCCCTGGGAGAGCAAGTTATTGTCTCAGCTGTGGTTGTGCTGCAGCCTGGAAATTAAACCCAGGAGCTGTCCAGTCCCCGACCCTTCAGTTCCTGATCATCCCACTTCCTGCCTCCCCTCCCCTTCTCCCAATGCAGAGCTACAGACACCATCAGCTACTCCATCCCCTTCCTGTGTCCCTCAATACCAGCTCGGGCTGCAACACTCACCGTGTTCAGGCTTGATCTAGCCCCCTAGAGAAGCCCCACGGGCTCTGCAGACATCCACCTGAGCCACAGACTCCAGGTATTTGAGAGAGGGAAAGGAAGTGCACAAGCCCCAGAGCTGCTGCTGTTAGTGACACAGGCTCTTTCTCCCCATAGCACTTGCAGGAGCTGATCCAGCTAAGGGAAAGAGACAGTTCCCAGGAATGGGACAGTGACCAAGTGTCCCAGCCAGAGAACCTTAAAGGGGCAGAAGAAGGAGGAAGGAGCAATAAAAGCTGTCTAGGTAACTCAATATCCATCTATCTGAGTTTTACACTGCTGCCCATCACTAGAGGTCAGAGCATCTGCTGCATGTAGTGGCTCTCAACCTTTCCAGACTACTGTACCCCTTTCAGGTGTCTGATTTGTCTTGTGTACTCCCAAATTTCACCTCATTTAAAAACTGCTTGCTTACAAAATCAGACATAACAATACAGAAGTGTCACAGCACACTGTTACTGACAAATGGCTTCCTTTCTCATTTTTACCATGTAATTATAAAATAAATCCATTGGAATATAAATATTGTACTTACATTTCAGTGTATAGTATACAGTACAGTATAAACAAGTCATTGTCTGACATTTTAGTTTGTACTGACTGTGTTATGCTTTTTCTGTAGCCTGTTGTAAAACTAGGCAAATATCTAGCTGAGTTGATGTACCCTGGGGAGACCTCTGCGTACCCCCATGGGCACACGTGTTGAGATGGTGCCAAATTACTATGAATTGCTGTGACTGATATGAATGAATGTGGCAAGCATGAGTTTGGTATGGCTTGGTATGCCTCAACTTGCTAGAGGATTCTGGGAGCAGGATTCTCTTAGCATTAGCTAAATGGAGTGGGGATACTACTCGAGGTGCTGAAACTGCACTGGAATGGTTAACAATGGCTCAATGGGTGTGTGTGTTTTAACCCCGAACTTTGGACTATTTCAGCAGAGAACCCGCTCACAAAGTAAAGAACACGGAAGAGCATGCGATCAGTGAGCCTAGTGACATGGCTGACATGGGTCAAAATGACCCTTTTTGGATAACCTCACGCTAAGAGCTTAAGTGAATGATTTATGAGAGAGTAAACTATGGCTGAACTTTGGTCTGTGTGTCTGCTTTGCAATCCCTTCCAAAATTATGAAGTAAACCAATCATAAACACCTACGAGGCATATTTCTGGAACATGTGACTCCTTTGAGAACCAAAAGGTATATAAGTGCTAAGCAAAGTAAATGACTCAGATCCATTCCCCAATTAATACCTGAAGAGGTTCAAGACTGAGAGACAGAAGTCGTCGGGGTAACCGAAACCCCGCCTTGAGGGACCTTTGCAAGACCTTAGAACCAGAAGTCATCAGGGTAACCAAGGCCCTGCTTCGAGGGACAGACCAAGTGCCTGAGAGGGGACAGAGGAAAGAGGAGCAGTCTCCATCTAGGGCTGGTAGCTATACCTGCTTTGTTTGCCAATCAGGACACTGTGTAAGGCCAACAGAGTGACTGAGGGGTTATGCTGGGGGAACTGAGGCTTATGGAAAAGAATGTATACCATGCAACCTTAACTGCTTGTGCGAGTCTCTCTCAAATAAATGACTGTGCATTAAGCATATTGGTTTCTGAATTCTCACTGGTATCGGTAAACACCTGCCCAGCTGTGGGCCATTAAAAGATCCGTTTCAACACTATGTACCCCTGATTGCCAACCACAGCACTAGTGGACTTCATGGAGTTTCTGCCACTTTTCCAAGTGGTGTAGGGATCTGAAAGCTCTTAAAGGGAGAGGGTTATATTTTGCTTGTGTGGCTTCTTTTGTTGTTACGCGCTCCCAGACTCGTCCAAGTCCATTTACTGCATCATCACTGGGTAGATTTACTTTCCTTCAAATAAGGTGAGAAAGAGAGAGGAAAAGCCAGTTGTTTTCCATTGCCTAGTAACTGAGGGAATATACTGTCCTAGGGAACATGTCAGAGGGATACCCCAAAATGAGCCTCTGATTCTGCTCTTTCTAGTATATATTTCAGAGATTCTGGTACTGGGAGGGTTTCAAAATGTCTCAGTGGGTTTAGTCCTGGTGGAAGGAGCTGATTAGGTATGCGCTGTAATAAAGTTTGGAGAAGCAGGTTGCTGTGTCCCGCAGTTAATTAATATTAGACACAGGCTATAATTAAACCTCACAATTCAGTTGAAGCTTCTTCCATATACTGGAGTGGACGGCTGACACTGAAGCGAAAGACAGTGTCTAGAGAATGCTTCAGCCAGTGATATCACACAAGCCAAGAGGAGAGCAGTTGAGAGGGAAGGGCTTTTTAGTCAGACTGTTTAAACGCTTTCTTTTTTGTTTTTAACACACAATTAACTCTAGTGAGGAATGAACATTTTGGATAAAGGAATCTTTGTTAAAGATAAACACCCCATCAATTAAGGAGCTCATGAGAGCCAGGGTCTGAAACATCCAGCAGATTTCCCAGCAAGACTAGGGAAGGGCCAGAACTTGGGAATGTAGAAAACCAACAAACCTTTCAGCCCCTCTTTATACATCAAAACAGGGCACAAGCCCGGGGGAGTGGGGGTGTATTGCTGGTGGTGTAGGGTGGGTTTTTTGCAGGTCACTTTTAAAGTAGGATGGGCCATATCCTACTGGGGGAGGGATAGCTCAGTGGTTTGAGCATTGGCTTGCTAAACGCAGGGTTGTGAGTTCAATCCTTAAGGGGGCCATTTAGGGCTGGGGCAAAATCAGTACTTGGGGGGAGGGATAGCTCAGTGGTTTGAGCATTGGCCTGCTAAACCCAGGGTTGTGAGTTCAATCCTTGAGGGGGCCATTTAGGGATCTGGGACAAAATCTGTCTGGGGATTGGTCCTGCTTTGAGCAGGGGGTTGGACTAGATGACCTCCTGAGGTCCCTTCCAACCCTGATATTCTATGATTCTATATGGGATTTCAAATATGTCCCTGAAATATATAGGGGCCTCTGAGGCTATGCAGCAGTGGTGAAGAAGCATTATAGATGTATCTAAACAACCAATGCAGTCCCATTGTTGGCCAGTGATAGATCCAACCTTGCTGTAAATCTTTAGCCGATTCCCAGCTCACACCTGTCTTGCTGGACTCACTGGAGAGAAGCTTTCAGGAGTAGTGCCCACTCTTCATGCTCCATGGCCCTAATTCAATCTGGCAGAGGAAGGCCTTGCTCTAGCAGCATACCAAAGCATGTACTTAACTTTATGCATGCAAGTTCTACTTAGTCACCCACACACTTAAGTGCTTTGCTGGATTGGGGCCTAAATCAGAATTGGGACTTGTAGAACCAGCAGTAATGGCAGGAGAAGGCCCACTATTTGCATCGAGAAGGGCAGCTACTAACAGCCTCATGCACCAAAACATCTGTCCATGGTTACCAGGGCTGGTGAAATAAAACATCGGTGACTTTCCAAGAGCTCGTCCTGGGCCATGAAACCCATTTTTACTTGTGCCTTTGCAAAATAAAGACTACATTTGGCTGACATTACTCTTTACGGAGAGCTTAGTTCACGGAACCCAGCTCAGCACATCTCATTTCAGAACTAATCAAAACCACTGCAGTGAGTGGATCTTGCCACAGCAGGGAATAAAATCAAAGCTGAAGGAATAGTGCAAGCAACTGGAGAGAGAGAGACTGATGTGCCGTTAATAAAAGGAAAGGATTAAACACTAGTAAGTATGCCCAGACAAAAACTAAGCTGGAGTTAAGGCTGAGAATTCATATCACTATGTTATTACGTTGCAGTTATCAAAATAGCACTCACTAGAGAGGCAGAAAATTCAGACTTCAGATTACAGTTAAAAGAAACAAACATTAGGAAGATTGGGAACTCACAGCTAAGGCACCCAGAGGATACCAACATCCCAACATCCCTTTCTTTGCTCCCTTCATGCTTATTTTTTCTCCGATGAGTAATTTTTGGTTCAGAGCTGTCATAAACCTTCCCCTCTCCCCTGTCTCTGGGAGTGGATGTTGTGAGTTTGGAGACGTCCCTGGACTTCAATAGTTCTATGGTGCAACAGTAAAAACGTGACCCACAGAGCTTTGGTTCCAGAATGGCTTCTCATAATAGCAACGAGGAGTCCGGTGGCACCTTAAAGACTAACAGATTTATTTGGGCATAAGCTTTCATGGATAAAAAACCCACTTCTTCAGATGCATGTGAACAGCTGAGCTGCTGTTCCTTCTATTTCCCTATTATCACATAATTTTCCAAATTACTCAAACATCAGGCCAATGGCCCGGCTAGCTCAGTGCATTGGTCTGTCCCGGATCAGGCCAATGGCCTGGCTAGCTCAGTGCATAGGTCTGTACCGGATCAGGCCAATGGCCCGGCTAGCTCAGTGCGTTGGTCTGTCCCGGATCAGGCCAATGGCCCGGCTAGCTCAGTGCATTGGTCTGTCCCGGATCAGGCCAATGGCCTGGCTAGCTCAGTGCGTTGGTCTGTCCCGGATCAGAGCAATGGCCCGGCTAGCTCAGTGCGTTGGTCTGTCCCGGATCAGAGCAATGGCCCGGCTAGCTCAGTGCGTTGGTCTGTCCCGGATCAAGCCAATGGCCCAGCTAGCTCAGTATGTTAGTCTGTACTGGATCAGAGCACAACGTTGCTTCCAGATCAGTAATCAGACATCCCATGTCCTGCCCACAGCAGAATTTTCAGAAGCCTCAATCACCACTGGTCATTGGTGTTGTCAAAAGAAGTTTATGAAACAAAGACTTAAAATCAAACTGCCTCTGTGTTTGGCATCCCCTGCAAACAGTTTCAGAGCAGTATGTGCTCAGGGCACAGCTCTGTGCTGTTCATATCACCTGGCATCAGGTTGTTTGTGTGCCCGGATCTCCTCCCCACGTGGATTTTCTGGTGACTGTCGAGGTCGGACCTGCGTCTGAAGCCCTTGCCACAGTCCATGCATGTGTGGATTGTCTCCTGGTGGTGAGTCCTGTATTGCACTACCCGGGACGCGTACCCACTGAAGCGCTCCCCGCATGCCGCACACCTGTAGGGCTTTTCGCCCATGTGGACCCGCAGGTGGATGATGACATCTGAGCTCCTCCCAAAACCTTCCCCACATACGGAGCCCTTCTAGAGCTTGCTCTCCATGGGGACCGCCTGGTGCTCAGCCAGCTCTGTGTTCTGAGCACAGCTCTGCCCATGCTCCAGGCACCCATGGGGCCTCTCTTTGGCATGGCTTTTCCGATGCTCCCTGAGGCTGGACCTGCAGCTGAACTGCTCCCCACAGTCGGAGCACACGCAGGAGGCACTCCCCGCGTGGCCACACTGGTGCTGTGCCAAGTTGGAGCTCTGGCTGCAGCACTTCCCACAGTTGGCACATTTATAGGGTTCCTGTCCCATGTGGCTGCAGTGGTGCTCCAAGAGGTTGGAACTCTGGCTGAAGCCCTCTCCGCAGTCGGCACACCGGTTAGGGCCGCTCGCCATTGTGGGTTCTCTGGTGAGTGACCAGCGTGGAGCTCTGGTTGAAGCTTTTCCCGCAGACCGCACTGGGAGGGCTGCTCGCCCCGGTGGGCTCTCTGGTGGGTGATCAATGTGGTGCTCAGGCTGAAGCTCTTGCCACAGTCCCTACACTGGCAGGGCCGCTCGCCAGGGTGGATGCGCCGGTGCTTTGTCAGGTTGGAGCTCTGGATGAAGCCCTTGCCACAGTGGGCACAGCTGTAGGGCTGCTCCCCGGTGTGCCTACGCTGGTGCTGGATGAGCATGGAGTTGACACTGAAGCTCTTGCCACCGTGAACGCAGCAGTAGGGCCCCTCGCCTGTGGACACACTGGTGTTTGATGAGGGAGGAGCGGTTGTGGAAGCTCTTCTTGCAGCTGCTGCACTTGTTGGGCTGCTCCCCCTTGTGGGTGCACCGGCTGAAGCTTGGGAAGGGTCTCTCCTGTATGGGTTCTCTGGTGCCGGACGAGGTGTGAGGTCCAGCTAAAGCCTTTCCCGCAGTCAGGGCAATTATAGGGTCTCTCTCTTGGGAGGTTTCTTTGATGTCTCAGTAAATCCGAACACCTCTTATATAGCTTGTCGGACTTCTGGCCTGCCCTTGGTCTGTCACTTCTGGGTTTTCTTTGAGGGACCAAGGGGCCTTTGAGACTGCTGAAATCTTTTCCATGATGAGTGGATTTACCTGGTCTCTTCCCTGGATGGTTTTTTTGTTGTCCCTCTGGATTGTGTGCCCCATTGAGGACTCTGGAAAATATTCCCTTTGGCTCTTACAGGTAACACGCCATCTGGCTCCACTTTCTCAGTCGCATGGGCCGCTGCAGAAGTCACGGAAAGTCACAGAATCTTTGACTTCCATGACAAACGCAGAGCCTTAGTCATGATGCATAAGAAATGGGATGGAGAATATGAATATGAAGAATATTCTAGTGCCTTTATATAAATCAATGGTGCAGCCGCATCTGGATACTGATGCAGCAGTGATCACCCCGGCTCATACAGGCTATTGCAGAATTGGAGGGAGTTTGCAGAAAGGCAATGAAAAATATGAAGAGGCTGGAGAAACTCTTATAAAGAGAGATTGAAATGGTTGGGTTTGTTACCTTAGACAAATAAGAGAGGACATGATAAAGGTCTATAAAACAAGGAATGGGATAGAGAAGGTAGGTCAGGATTGTCTTTTCTCCCTACCTCATTACCTAAGAACAAGGGGAAATTCAGTGAAATTAAAAGGTGGAAATAACACTAAAAGGAAATACTTTTTTACACAATGTATAATTAGAGGTGACGCTCTCTGCCACAGGAGGTCATCAAGGCAAAGTACTTAGCAAGGTTCAGAAAGAGATTGGACATTTATATAGATAACAGGAATAGCTAGAGTTGTAATTAAAGTTAACAAACATTTGCGAAGGGAGAAGCCTTTTGCTTCAGGGCTTAAAACAATCTCTAAGTATTAGAGACCAGGCTGGGACCTATGTGGGGGGCAGGTCACCCCACATCTGCTACTGTAGGGTCTTACACCTTCCTCTGAAGCATCCGGCACTAGCCACTGTCAGAGGTAGGACATTGGACTAAATGGACCTTGGGTCAGAACCAGTATGATATTTCCAATAATTGTGTAAGGGAAGGAACTACATACTTCTTGCAAAGTCTTGTGGGAAATCTGTCATGGGGATGAGACAACTGCTGGTTATAATATAGAGGTAGATGAGGTTTGTAGGAATTCTAGAGATGGGTTTGGACTTGGTCTAACTTCCTCCTCACCTGTACTGGCACCTCTCGGGATCTTACTGTCCTCTGAATCCTGGAGAGCTGGGACACAGGGTTCTTCCCCTTGTTCCACTTGGGAGGTTACATCAGCTTTAGGAATCAGAAATCCTGCTCATGTTAATTAAAACAGATGAGATCAGATATTGTAATACAGATGTTCTATGAGCATACAGCCAGCTGCTGTCTTTACTGGGGGTTGTTTTATCAGAACTGATGGGAAAGAGTTCATGGAAACTAGAGAAAGTCCAACATCTGGTGGGAGATTTGTTCCTGAGAAAGATTCAGGGACCTCCACACACATTGGGGCCTCGATCCCAGTCACAGTGAAAGCATTAAATCACTTGCTCATTGCTAAACCTGCAGGGACCCCTGATTAGCTCAAAGGATGAAGCCAGAAATGAGGGGATTCTATCTGTGTATGAATGAACATGGACAAAGTACGTTTCCCTATTAGCAGCTCCAGGGATGGGGAGATCAGAGAACCCCATGGAGATCCTGAATCTCTCTCTGATTGTGTGTGGAGGTGACTATCCCTCTCGGGTGAGTTCTGGGGATGATAGGCCTTAATGCACCAGAAATCCTACAGAGCTGGGAAAAACCTGGGCTAATGGTAGCCTGGGCACTCGCAGCGTCTAATGAATGAGGGAAAACAAGCCCTCATCCTGTGAGCTCAGTGTCTCCTCATTCTTCTCTGACAGGGCCCTCGGTGGGATACACAGCCTCCTTTTCGAAGGTCACTGGCACCTAACCCAAGAATCTGCTGCTCAGTGCCCCTGCTGCAGTGACCATCATAATGGCCCCAGAGTGTCACATTTGTGCTGTTCTCCTATAGTGCGTGTTACGCCCTTTGGTAATGGTGACAGTTCTGTAACCCCGTTTTAGACCCAGCTTCCAGGATGCTCCTACCTCTACCCCACCCCTCCCTCAGCCCTGCTGCTCTCCCCTAGATATTGGTGCAAATGTCAGCAGAAATGTTGACTCTGGAAACTGGGACCATAGCAAATGTTCTCTGTGCTGACAGAACCGGCCCCTGCGAGCTCCTTGCACCGTCTGTCCCTTTGCTACTCCCGCTGCATGGGTCCACAGGGCCCACGTTTTAGATTCGGCAGGCCTGGAAGATTCAGAGAGACTCTTCTGGGGATCTTCAGATGTCATCCATCTTCCTGGGGCCGAAACAATTCCCCAAAGCTCCCTCGTGTCCTGAAGACTGAAGGGCTGGGTCCCAGCCGGTTGTTCTGCGATGGGTCCTTCCGGACTCATCTCAGTGGGGAATGTCAGCCCCCTCTCACCTCGCCTTGTCCTGAAAGGTCAGGCCAGCTCTTCCCAGCCTGTGCTGTGTCCCATCACCCCTTTCACCTCCCTGAGTATTTACGGCTCCTCCCTCCTCCAGGACAAATCCACCAACAACTCCCCCCAAGTCTCCTATCTGGCAGCCACTTCCCTTTCCCAGCTCCCCTGAGGACGGGACGATCCAGAGCGAAACCCGGCAAGAGAGGAGATTTCAGCAGGGCCATTGCACACCCCTCTTCCTGCCTCCCCTCCTCCCAGCCCAGCCGGGCCCGAGCTGCCAGCCCCATCGGCTGCGCCTCCAGCCCCTTCCTGTGTCCCTCCCTACAAAGCCGGGCTGCAACACGGGCTGGCTCGAGCCCGGCGTGGGAGCCCTGCGGGATCTGCAGTCACCTGTCCTGAGCTACAGCGTCCAGACACCAGCGAGCCCGTGCTGGGCCTGGGCAGACACGGGCCAGGCGCGGCTCCCCCGCCTCGCCCCACGTGGCTGCTCCCGGCGCCGCCGCTGCTGCTGCGGCCACACGCGGGCGGTGGTTCCTGGCCGCACTCGCACGAGCGGCTGCTCCCCTCCGCGCCAGTGACCAAACGCCGCCGCTGGCGTGGGGCAGGAGCAGAGTCGGGGGACGAGGACACTCTCACCCCAGCCGCCCAGGCAATGGCTGCAGCAGAGCTGGCCGAGGTAGGGGGTTCTTCAGGCAGCTGCTGGTGGGTTTGCCCGGGAAGGGGCAGAGACAGTGAATGCACCGGGGAGGGCGGGGAGAAAGTGAGCGAGATGGGACAGCTGCCGAACCGGCTGGGAAGTGTTTGCCAAGGGGCCTGGCTTTCAGCAGGGGGAGGCAGAAATCCCCCGTCTGTGCAATTGGAAACAAACCCCGATCGAAGATGTAGCAGGTTCCCAGTAGCCAAAGGACTACGCCTACTAGCCAGAGGCAGGGGTGAAATCCACCAGCCAAGCCCATGTGAGAGCCCAGGCCCCCCACATCCCTCTCCTGAGAACTGGGACGGGCACTCGGGATTGGCTGGACCCTGTTCAGGGCACAGTTTCACACACCAGGCAGGTGTGAGAACACTGATCTACCACCAAGGGTTCAAAAATGATGTGGCAGCCCCCCCCCCCCCCCCCCCCCCGAGATTGCCTTAAAAATCATGAGATTTAAAAATAATGCTGGGTCTTTTTATTTGCCTTTTGGTGTTGGAGCATTTAGAGATCATGTTTTTATGCTTTTCCTGCAACCAGAAGAGCTAGACACTTACTTAAAGAAGGAAAAAAAGCTGTGATTCTAAAGTAATAATTTGATTCCAGCACAGCACTTGGGACTTTAAAAAACACCATCTAGTGTGAGACACGTGATTCAATCGTAAGCGTTGGCAATACTGGCATGTTCCCTGGTCTTTGTGGGCCAGTGGGCGTTTCGCAGCCAGGCCATGGCTGAGCTGGGGGGTTCAGTGCTGAGCAGCCACTGAGTGGGGGGCGCTTGATGTCTCCGGGGCCAGTGACTCCAAGGTGGTGGCCGTGTAGGCAACAGATGTTTTTGACCCCTCATTAGAGGACTCACTACAGGGACGTCATGCAGGGGAATAATGAGAGCGTGCAGAGACAAAGAATTCAACTAAATCCCATGTCTCTGCCCCACTGCCTCTCTGCAGTGTAAGCATGTAGGTGACAGTAGCATTTTGTAACCATGACAAGCCCTTAAGGATCAGGAAAACTCATTGAGCAGAAGCAGCCCTTGGCTCTTCAAAGACACCCCTGGTAAGGCTGTGTCTACACTGGCACCTTACTGCTGCAGCCGTGCTCTTGTAAGGCACGCAGTGTAGTGGGAGAGAGCTCTCCCAGCGACAAAATGAAACCACCCCAAACGAGGGGCAGTAGCTTCGTTGACGGGAGCGCGGCTCCCACCAGCAAAGCACTGTCCACACTGGCGCTTTTCGTTGTTAAAACATTTGTCGTTCGGGGGGTGTTTTTTCACACCCCTGAGCGACAAAAGTTTTAACGATGAAAGGGCCAGTGTAGACAAAGCCCAAGATAGCAGGGCAGAAAACGTCTATAATGTCTACACTTACACTGTACCGATACAGCTGTGCTGCCGTAAGATCGCTTGTGTAGCCACATTGTGCTGATGGGAGAGAGCTCTGCCGCGGACATAATAACGGGTGGTGGTAGCTATGACAGCCCGAGAGCCTCTCTCGCCGACATAGTGCTGTGCACACAAGTGCTTATGCTGGCAAAACTTATGTGGCTTGGGGGTGGCTTTTGTCACACCCTGAACGATGAAAGTTTTGCTGACTTAAGTGCTAGTGTAGACGGGGCCTTAGTGAGAAGGGCCCAGAGGAGGGTGTGGGAGTTAGTGGACGTGTTCAGTAGCTGTTTTTGAAGCTGCACAGACAGATTCCACTGAGGGCAAACAGTCATACAGGTTTCCCCCATTCACCACCTGAGGGAAGCGGAGGTGTGATTGCAGTATGAGCACACATACCCACTCTAGCTTTACCACTGCCAGCGTGGCTGAAAAGTGCGACAGTGTGGGCTGCACATCCGTAACTCTCCTTTCTTTTCTGGGGTTCAGCCAGAAGTCTTATTGCTGTAGTTGCAGCTGCTGTTGCTGCTTGCTCTGTGTGATAGGGAACATTCCCAGATAAGGTGGCTTGAGAGAGGCTCAAGGGACTGCAAGCAAGCGGTTGCTGATTCCGCACACTAGAGGGAGCGCAGGAAGTTGTTAACCAGCTCAGGAGCTGTTTGGAAGCTGGTGTGGAAGTTTTCGCCAAGGGCAGACATTCCCCTGCATGTGCCTTTAGTTAGAAGCTCAAAGCTCCTTACCAATCAGTAGTGAGTTCTATCAGGGATACAAAACTGGCAACCATTTGAGTACTAGTAGGTCCAGCCCAGCCCAGCGAGGAGAAGATGGAGCTGCCAGGGGTAATGTAGACTGAATCTGTAGGTTGGATCTCAATACAGTTTCCTGTAATTTTACAGATTGGTTGGACCTTATTGGTCTGCAGCATTTATATGTTAACGTCCCTAATTCCAAGAACGAAAATAAGTAATTTCTCTTCATTGAGTAGATGCAGCTGAGTATTCCACTTAGGTGTGTGCGCGCCCAGTGCGCCGGAGCCAGAGAATTTTACCTAGCAGTATCTGTAGAGGGGCGGCTCTCATGGCCATAGTCCCTCTCCCTGACCCCCCACAGTTCCTTCTTACTGCCCATGGCTGGAGTCAGAGCTCTGTGATTTTCATCCTCACAATCCTCTATTTTTGGTTGCATATAGTTCATTACTACTCCTAGTACAGTGTGTGTTAGTTGGAGTTTAAGTGTTCCCGGGTGATGCTCTCCCCAGGGGTTAAACATTGACTGTAGTGTTTGGAGCAGGGGAAGGGCGATCTCCACACCGGTGCTGGCTGAGGCCCACGGCAAGGAACGGTGTTTGATTTGCAGCTCGCTCACCAAACGAACTCATTGAACAGGCTATGCGGCCTGCTTCATCACGAGGCCTTGTTGGCTCGGAGGTCGCCCTCGGGTTCGGAAAGTGCTGCTGTGTCACGTCCTGGGGCTGGCATCTCTCCAAAGAGTCATTCCCCGTCGAGTATGCCATGGAAATGGTCACATGAGACCAACTGAAGCCACTCCAGGTCCCATGGGGACTCGTCTCCCTCCTCCAGAAGGAGCGTGGATTGGCACAGGGTGAATGCCAGTGTGCGGGATGGAGCAGGATCCATCAACAGCTCCCCAGCACTGCGCCGGGAGGACAGAGATCCCTTACCATTGACTCCGGTTCTGGCCCCAGGGTGTCCATTGACCCCGGTCCCGACGAGGGCGATGCTGGCCCTGGCTGTTTTTGTATCAGCGCTACACCCCAGTGTTTCCTTTCCACACTCAGTGGAAATGGGGCCGGTACTGGATTCCCTCCTCAGCACCGGGAACTTCTTCGGTAGCCTGTGGCTGGCGCCGCCAATGTTACTGTGGCATCAGTCACCACCCTCCTCTTCGGCACCGTTAGTTACTTCGGTACCGATGCTGACTTTGGGGTCAACACTGCTCCCGGCCCCACAAACAACGGAGGTGAACTCAGTGCTGGCAGTACCATTTCCACCATCGGCACCAGCCCCCTCACTAGTCTGGGCTACTGGGATTCCTTGGTGTCTGAGTCAGGATCTTACTCCTCCTACTCTCCGGGCAGCTAAATGTTTGATCTAGTTGTCAGTATAATACCTAGACTCAGCCTACATGAAAGTAGATGATCTCTGATTGGCAAAAGTCCCAATCTTCCTACTTATTTTGCGAGGTTTAAATATACATATTTTAGAGTGTAGGCTCCGTGCTATATTCTTCATTTTAAAAGTAAATAATGCGTCTCTCGTTAGTGCTGTTAATCTAGCTAGGGTTCACTGGAACTGCTGTGCTGTACTGGTTTGTCTTTGGAGCGTTATTCAGTAAAAAGAAAAAAAATGGGGGGAAAAGAAATTTGAAACGGCTAATTGTGTGGGTGTGTGTGTGAAACTGTCTTATGGTGAAAACTGGTACTGGATTCTTAAGAAGAAGAAAAAGAAAGCAAATCCAATTATAATTTCCACTTTTTAGTATTTAGAGGTTTCCTATAGAAAACCCAGCTGTAGTGTCTAGCAAGGATATGAGTTCATGGTCTGTACAAATACATTAAGTCAGATAGAGGAGTTCTGTAGCACAGAATTGGTAAGTAAATTGCAACCAATACAAACCTAGACTTACCTCTTCTCTAGGTAGGTTGCACAAGCACACTAGCCCATGTCACCACATCTACACCGCTACTTTTAGCCATGCTGGTGTGGGCTAGTTTATGTCTATCTGATCGATTGAAGTAGAGACATACCCAGTATTGCCAACTCTTGTGATTTTATCACAACTCTAGCAATTTGGGGGGTGGCTGGGGGGTGGGGTGGTGGTTCCTGTCTCATGAAAACATGACAAAAGATGCCAACTCATGACTTTTCCCTTATTCATAATGGCCATCTCCCCTTACTATCAGTACAGCTGAAGCCTGCAAGATGGCTGCCAACTTCTAATGTGAGGCTACCCTTCATAAAATTGGCTGCCACCTCCCACTGTTTTCAATGGGATTGAAGCCAGGCCAACAGGTTGAAGGGGCTGGACAAGACACAGGAACTGTGAGGACCAGCAGAGACACCATGACAGGGGGATGGGGAAAGTGAGGGGGGCAGAAGGGCAGTTGAGGGAATGCAGGGGAATGTGGGGGGCAGGAGGAAGGCTGAGGGGGTGCAGAGGACAGTCCCCTTCCAGCAGCCAGGGGAAGACAGTGTTGCCAACTTGAACTCTCACAAACTGCTCGAGAGCCTACGATCTTGGTGCCTGCAGGAGCTCTCATGCTGACTCAGGAAGTCACTGCAAACCCACAATCTTCCGGGCTGGAGGTGTGGGCAGCGTTCTGGGCAAGCGCTGTAGGGCTGAGGATTCAGATCTGACCTGTATGGCCCTGGAACAGAGAGAGGGGCCCAGGGGAATGGGAGGTAGGGAATGGGGAGTTGGATTGTTCTGCTCAGACCCAGGTAGAGGAGGGAGCAGGGGGACTTGGGTAATAAGAATTGGATGGCAGTTCCTCTATGTTAGGGGTGAGGAGATGGTAAATGGAGTAGCTTGCATGGTTATGTCCATTAAAGTTTGCCTTTTCAAGTGGAATTCTGATACCCCCATTGGCAGAGGAATAGAGGAGAGTTAAAAGTCAAAAGACAGATGGAAAAACATGGTTTGACTGATATAACCCCTCCTAATTTTTGGTTTCTGGAGGCTGGCAATACTGCATACGTGGAGAGCTGAGCCAGGTGGGGCTCAGGGGAAAAGGCACTGGACATAGGCAGGGGCTCAGTGGCTGACTGATGCTGACCCCTACAGCTCTGAGCACTGAGAGCAAACTCAGGAGTTCTACAGTTGTATAAGATCTTGGGAGATTTTTGTGAGAGATTCCACAATCGTGTAATTTACCCTGATGTGTTTTCTCCCTCCCCTGCCCAGCACTGTGTCTAATTACCAAGGTGATCTCTCAGATGGAACTAGAGGAAGAGCCATCGGTCCTGGAAAGGGAGAACCTAAGAAGCACCTGTACAGGTAGGGAACATGGGAGACTGATGTCAGGAAACTATGGTGAGAGAGTAGAAAGCTAGGATTGTATTGGCAGGTGTCGTATCCTTGTGACTTTCCAGTAATCCTGACTGCCACCTTCTGGTAATTCCCTCTTGTGCCCTCCTGTCCTCCACAGAGTTTGGATGGCACGAGGTGGTGGAACCAGTCCCGCCTCAATCACCTCGGGGGAATGGCTGGGGGGATTCAGCTCCAGATTCCTCAATCTCCCAAACAGTTATTTTGGTTTGCAACCTCCCTGCCCTGTCTTAGGCACCTTGTTTTCCCAGCACAGGGAGTGACTCACTTCTGGCTCTCTCGCTATCCCAGCAGGTCATGGGATGGTGCGTGAGAATGAGGAGGAGAGTCCTGAGCAAGTGGAACTTCATGTGACGTTACTGGGAAGATCCAAAGCGCAGGGAAATTTCTGCCCTCTTGAGCAGGGAAAAGCTTCTGAGAGTCCAGGCAGGTCCAAAAGGGAGCAAAGAAACCCTCCAGCAAAGAGACTGGGGAAATCCATCCAGCTTGGGGGAGGTGACCTCAATGACCTCCCAATCCCGCAGAGACTCCACACGGGAGAGGGAAAGAACACATGCTCCGACTGTGGGAAAAGCTTCCGTGGGAGCTTAGGTCTTACTAGACATCAGAGAATCCACTCGGGCGAGAAGCCCTACAGATGTCTTTTGTGCGGGAAAGGCTTCACCGTCAGCTCCACCCTGGCTAAGCACCGGCGCATCCACACTGGGGAGAAACCCTACCAGTGCCTCAGTTGTGGGAAGAGCTTCATCCAGAGCTCGCAGCTCATCACCCACCAGAGAACACACACGGGCGAGAAGCCCTACCAATGCCCCGAATGCGGGAAGGGCTTCAGCCGGAGCTCCCACCTCATCATCCACCAGAGGTTCCACACTGGAGAGAAGCCCTATGAATGCCCCCAATGCGGGAAGGGCTTCAGCCAGAGCTCCAACCTGGCCACGCACCAGAGAGTGCACACGGGGGAGCGGCCCTACCAGTGCTCCCAGTGCGGGAAGGGCTTCGCGCAAAGCTCAGACTTCACCGCCCACCAGCGGCTGCACATGGGCGAAAGGCCCTACCGCTGTGCCGAGTGTGGGAAAAGCTACACAAACAGCTCTGCCCTCATCAAACACCAGAGGAACCACACGGGAGAGCGACCCTACAAATGCCCCGAGTGCAGGAAGGGCTTCAGCCAGAGCTCCGCTCTGCTTGCCCACCAGCGGATCCACACGGGAGAGAGGCCCTACAAATGTCCTGAGTGTGGAAAGGGCTTTTATGCGCGCTCCCCCCTTATTGCACACCGGAGAACCCACACCGGCGACACACCCTACATGTGTCCGGAGTGTGGGAAGGGCTTCCGCAAGAAAACCAGCCTGAACGTGCATCAGAGAGACCACCCGGCGGAGGAACAATGCCCTGACCAGGGCTGTCCCCAGTGAACGGCATCCATGGCCATTCCCACAACACACAGGGATATTTGGCTTCTCAGCACCATCCGTGTCTGCACATCTGTTGGGTCAGCTGACTGCAGGAGCCACCCCTAAGCTGACTGGTGGTGATCCTCTAGCAAGTCCTAGGCAGAGAAGAAGCCCACATCATCTCCTAGTTAACTGGTGCATCCCAAGCTGTAACGCTGCCAGGCCCTCTGTCTCTTGTCAACATGGGAGGAGAGAGGAAAACCCCTCCAGGAGCCCCTTTTTCCTCATGTGGACAGCAGCTGGGAGAAAGCTACGTGGTTCAGGCCCTAAACTAACTCAAGAGACCTATCACCACTACCCCCCAGACCAGGGCTGGGCTCTCAAACTGATCCAGAACTGTAGCCTGATTATGCTCATACCACCTTAATTCTGGCCCCTTGTGCAAATAGGTTCTGGTACAATTTTAATTTACACTGTCACATACCGTTTTTTCCAACAGGGCTCCTACCTCATCCAGTGCCCAGAATGGATGCATCGGGCAACCTGATCTATAGGGGTCTCTATGCATGCTGCCTATAATAGAATGCTACCCTCCATTCTCTCCCTGCCCCTTGCCTTGGGTGCCCAGGGTCATCTGGGGCCACTTACATTACTGTCTTGAAAGTGCCTTGAATTGCCAGTGGAGCCAACCCCCATTTTCTGCCTACCTAAATTACTCATTTTGCCCTGGCAAGCTCCTGGAAATCCTGTCCTGAATGGTTGGTGCATCCCACACATTCGTGATGAAATACTAGCCGAGCTGCTATTTAGAGCCCTGCAGAAAGCAACAGGAAATGGAGATGTATGTCTCATCCTAATGCTGTCTGAGCTGAGTCTGCAGTAGGTTCATTCCATTTTCAATGGTCACAACCTCATTCCAGTGCCAGGGAGGAACAAGTCCTCAATCTCAGGCAGAAGAACGAAACAAAAGCAGACAAGATTCTGCCAACAAAACCGATTGATTGGGAGCAGTAACAGATTGATTGGGAGCAGATTTAAGCTTAATCAAAATAAGCCACTCTTAAATTGAAATAAGCGTGTCTACCCAGGGATGTGCAGAGTTTTAACTAAATAAGCTTAAATGCCCACCTTAAGTTAAAGTGGTACAAGCCCTCAGTGCAGCCTTGCCAACCCCAAGCATGCAAAAATCATGAGTCCAGCCCCAAAACATGAGATTTGGCTTAAAAGTCCAGAGGGGTTTTAAAAATAATACATGTTAAGTTTTTGTGTCTTCTGGTTTCTGAGCCTTTAAGTGTGCACGTGCTTCACATTTTCAGTCTTTTCCCTGCGACCATGAGGGCTAGAACCTCCCTTAAAAAAAGAAAAGAAAAGAAAGTTGAGCTTCTTATTCAGTCTCTTGATTCTAGCAGCTGGGGCTGGAAAACACCAAATATAATGAGAGCTGCATTACATTTGTAAGAGTTGGTAACACGATATCGTCTTCTGCTTCTTCACATAGGTGTGTGTGCACCCAGCACACTGGAGCCTGAGAAATTTGCCTAGTGATACCTGTAGAGGGTGGCACTTGCACCTCATGGCCATAGCCCTTTCCCTGGCTACATGACGCGGTGCCACCCCAACCCTCTCTCTTTTTATTTCTTGGTCAACTGTAACATCCCATGTTTAATTCATTCTGTTAAACATTGTCAACACTATCACCTAACCAGCTTTATTTGACTTTCTGTAATTTCTTAGTTGCTTTTGAAATTCTGTTTTGGCTAATGAATGGATACATTTACCATACTTCCCCAGTCTGTATTTTAGCTGAGGAACAGATCTAAAAAGAACCTGAGGGCTTGTGTGCTGCTGAAGTGCTTCAGTGCAGATGCTGCCTGTTCCAACGGGAGGGGTTCTCCTGACGGCATAGGTACTCCACCTCCCCGGGAGGCGGTAGCTAGGTCGACAGGAGAATTCCTGTCTATGCCAGGGGTTAGGTTGGTTTAACTGCGTCGCTCATGGGTGTAGAATTTTCACACCCCTGTGCGAAGTAGTTATATTGACCTAATTTTGTAGTGTAGTCTAGTCCTTAGAAACTTGGTAGATAATAGGTTAATTAAATTAATTGTCTAATATGGTTTAGAATGTGCATTTCTTACATCATGCATCTTAATGAGGGATGAAGTTCAAAGTCTAATCGTCAATGCTAACATGAAGTGCAGGCAAACATACTTGTCTTAAACCCAAATTACTTATATATAAAAAGCAAGATTAGTGCAAAACTAAGGCTGCTTGTTTAAGATGAATGCAGAGAAGGAAGATGATTCAGGGGGTTGGGCACTAATCTAGCCCTTGAGAGAGACTGGTTCAAGTTCCTGCTCCATCATAGATTTTCTGCATGAACTTGGGAAAGTCACTTAGGCCCAGTTCCACAAAGGTGTTAGGAGCCTAAATCCCTTTGTGGCTCTGGGCTTCTGGGCCCCAGCTCCCCATCTGTACAATGGGGATAACAGCACTTTCCAACATCACCGGGGAGTTGTGAAGAGAAATCCATTAAAGCTTGTTAAGCGCTTGGATATAGCACTAATGGGGCTATATAAGCACTTACGATAGATAGAACTGCAGAAGCTAAGATTTCTATAGCAGGGTTGGCTTAGCTATGTAAATCTGTATATTATGATATAGTGATGTAAACCCCGTACAAACACCAGAAGGGTTAAGGGAGCCTGAAAGTGTCAGTAACCTCACTGATTGCACCTAGGGAGGGTGTGGTCAGGTGAAGGGGGTGGACTTAAAAGAGGAGAGAGAAGGTCAGTTGGGAGAGGAGAGTACGTAGTGTGTTGTCTCCCTCCCTCCGGGAAGTGGGATGATAGAAGGCTGGAGAATCATAGAAATGTAGGGTTGGAAGGGACCTCAAGTGGTCATCAAATCCAGCTTCATCTGCTAAGGACCAAGTAAACCTAGACCAGCCCTGGCAGATGTTTGTCCAGCCTGTTTTTAAAAAGCTCTAACGATGGAAATTCCACAGCCTCCATAGGAAGCCCATTCCAGAGCTTACCTAGCCTTCTAGTTAGAAAGTGTCAACTAATATCTAACCTAAACCTCCCTTGCAAGAGATTGAGCCCATTACTTCTTGTCCTACCTTCAGCAGACATGGAGAACAATGGACAGGCTGCCCCTGAGGTGAGCCAGCAGAAAGATCAGGAGCTGCTGAGGGACCCAGGACCCCTGGGAAGGCAGAGAACTGTCTGGCCCTGACTGTGGCATGGAGTGAGGATGTTGATGATGGATGAGGTTTACCTGCGCAGGAACGGGATGGCCAGATGAGCCTGACTGGGGCTGAGGATTTAGTTATGTTTCTCTGGGATGCATTAAAGGACTCTGTGGTCCCAGAAGGGGTCAGACTCTTGAAAGTGTCATGGTCGGAGAGTCAGACCACCCCTGCAGCCAGAACAGGCTGAAGAACACAAGAGGAAAAAGGAAGCACAGCTGCTGCAATGTCACATCCAGCTGTGGGGCAGCAGTTTTGCGGCAGGTATATATTTATAACTATTAAAATCAGACGGCATCTTGAACAAGACACATGGTATGGAAAATTTTCTAGGGAACCTAAATGAACAGTAATGCAAAAGCTACCTTAGCAGTGTAACTTTCATGTAGCCCTGCAAATATTTCACAATGACAGTTGCATTACATTTTTGTTCACATTTAACTTACTGAGATGATGTTGAATCAATGCTGGGAATGTAAAAATGTTAGTAACAATGGGAATGAAAATCTGGTATGTGCAACATTTTTGCCTGCAATACATTTTATACAGAAGTTTATATTTGGTAGGAGGAACCTGTCACCCCATGACAACAATTGTACTTGTTTTGTTCAGTTTAGGAATATAGGAAGTGCTATGCTGGCTCAGACCAGCGCTCCACCTAGCTCTGATAGCGAAGTGTCTGAGGCCCACTCTACACACAGGTTTTGTACCAGTAGAAGTATTTTGGTTAGGGTTGTTTTTAGTTTTTCCCAATAATTGTACTGGTACAATCCTAGCATGGAAGGTGCCTTATACTGGTATAGCTTCCTTCCCTTCCTGTTCAGGAATAAGCTAGACCAGGGGTCGGCAACCTTTCAGAAGTGGTGTGCCGAGTCTTCATTTATTCACTCTAATTTAAGGTTTTGCGTGCCAGTCATACATTAACGTTTTTAGAAGATCTCTTTCTATAAGTCTATAATATATAATTAAACTATTGTTGTATGTAAAGTAAATAAGGTTTTTAAAATGTTTAAGAAACTTCATTTAAAATTAAATTAAAATGCAGAGTTCCCCGGACCGGTGGCCAGAACCCAGGCAGTGTGAGTGCCACTGAAAATCAGTTCGTGTGCCGCCTTTGGCACACGTGCCATAGGTTGCCTACCCCTGAGCTATACTATTATCCTCACCTTTGTATTGGTATGGGTGTGTCCACACCAGAGGAGTGCTACCACTTTAAGTACACCAGTATAGTTTCAGCGCCAAATATCAAAATATTGCTACATGGAATGAACTCTCGTTGTATTTGTATAACACTAATTTTTGTTTTCTAGTTTTGATAATTCTGAACTTTAGAGCATGATTAAAAGAGTAAAACTCCATTCACGCAAGACTATTCTGCTGACTAAAGGCATTAGAACGTGATTGTTACTAGTAGCCATCTTCTGCATCTCTATGTAAGAGACAGAAACTAAATCCTCTTCCCATTTGTCTTCTGCCCCAAATATGGCTCAGCTGTGAGCTGCTGTTAGGTTGTTACATTAAAATAAATGCAACTCTGAAAGGTACTGCAAACTCCAGAGCCCCGGCCCTGTTCTGTGTGATAGGGAATTTAATATAAACAAGTTGCAAAGGATTCGATAGATAAATAAAGATGATTTCTCTTTTTCGGGGGAAGGAAATGGATCTCTTAAGACACTGGCACCTCTTGTGAAAGCCTAAGAAGCACCCAGGATTTGAGTCTCCATTGCTGTCCTTCACACATACACAAAGTGAGGACAAGCCTCTGCCAGTGCTGATTTGGTAGCATTTGCACTCCTCTTGCGTTGGTGTAAATATCTGAGCAGGGCATCGGAGACCTAGAAATGCAGGTTAAAGCAGTGTTAGGCCTTGTCTACCCAGAGACTTGCTCTGGTTTAAACAACTATAGGTTTGTTTTTAAACACATTTTATATAGGTTTTTGTCTATTTAAACTAACCCAATGCACACCAGATTTCAGATGATTTAGGAGGGTCCCAGTGTTGTCAACTTTGCCTAGTTTATTGCAAGTCTATTAATATTTGTTTTCTTCAAGTGTTCACAATGCCAGCTGCCAGCGAACACCCAGGCCATAGGCGTGTTCCCGGGCTAGCCTGGGAGCAGCAACATGGTCTTGTGCTACCCACTGCACAGTCCCAGGGTAAGGCCTTGCTGGGGAGGGCTGTGACTAGTAAGCTCTGGCTTCTAATAGCCTTGGGAAACAGCTTTAAGGAAGAGCAGCCTTTGGGGCCCAGGACTTAAGACATGGAAAGTTGATGTAAAGCCACTTTTGCCCCAGACCCCCACCAGGCTGCACCTCCTGAGACATACTGCTCAGAATCGGTGCCAAGGTCTTTAGCTCCTAACCCTTCAATCTCAGAAAATAAAAACACTGAGTCACTTCTGCCCCCCGTGGCAAGGTAGGGCCAGGCCCTGTGCCCTGACTGGAGGGTTAGGAAGAGGCCTATGGCCTGCCTGCACACAATGGCAGATCCATGTGGAGGGGCAGGATGGGGCCTTGGCAAATCAGTAGCCCTTGGATCTGAGCCCTGGCTCCAGCCTTACCTTAGCTCTGGGTTTGTTTGCGCGCCTTGAGGTGTTTGGGCACAGCTGTCTGTTCATCACGCACAGGCAGAGCCGTCCCTGGAGTACAGCGAATCAGAGCGACCGTCCTGGGCCCTGCGCTTTGGAGGGCCCTGCAGAAGGTGGGCGGGCAAGCGGGATGAGGAGCTGGGAAGAGGTGGGGTGGGGGCGGAGCCGGGGTGGGAAGAAGCAGGTGGGGGCGGGGCCTGGGCGGAGCCTGGGGGAGCACCCCCTGGCAGATTAGAAACTCTGCGCCTGGGTCCTGTGCCCTGCACCCTCCTAGGGATGGCCTGCATACAGAGCTCACAACTGCTGCCTTTGCAGCCTGCTAGCCTGCACTTTGGACACTACTGCCTGCAGGGATTCAGATTCCTGGAGCCAGCAGCAGCTATCCTAGGCTGTAACTAAGGGCTGATAGGAAAGCACTAATTTGTAGAGGTGGCATTCCCAGCTGACTGGCGACTGAAATAACTTTGGGGCTAGATAGTTCCCCTGGGTGGTGGCAATGCCTGGGAAGGCACGGGACCCGCTGCAAGGATCCCCTTCTCGAGTTTCCATCCTCCCCTGAGATACAGCGAGGGTTCTGCCCACAGACCTCCAGGGCCACCCCAGCATATCCTTCCTTAAGGTGAAGCTCTGCCTATAACCCTCCTGCTACCAACTGCTCTGGGACCCATTAGTGTGGGGGCTCCCCAACATGGAAAGGGGCCTAGAAAAAGTCCCTCTGGCTGAATCTCTGCAGAGCTAGTGCGCCCCGCTCCCAGCCTCCCCACATGTTTCCCCACAGAGTTGTCTGCAGGATGTAGGAGGGGAAATGCTGCTGCAGAGAAAGCAAAACCCCCTGATCCACACTTTCCGCAGGAAGGGAGGGGAGATCCCAGGTGCATGACTGAGCCCTTAGTGAGCAGGCTGGACTAGATGACCTCCTGAGGTCTCTTCCAACCCTAATCTATGATTCTAACAGCACTGCACTAAGGAAGGACACGGGCAAGTATTGTTTCTCCAGTAATTTAGGATTTTTATTTTATTGCTTATGAAACCGTCCCAGAAATATGACAGTACTTCTTCCCCATTGACTGGCCTTTTATATTTAACAAACATTTATTCCTCACTTCCCCATAT